TTAATATCACTATGTTATTTACATGACACCACTGCCATTGTAATTAACCCCTCCTCTCACTGTTCTACCCCTGCCTTTTAATATTCTAATCAGATTTGTGTCTTCTAGAAGGATGTCCTCAAGCCACACAGAGTAATAATGGTTCCAGCCCAAGACCTGATTCTATTGTGGACCTCTGGATGGCTCTCCCTCCAGGGAAACCCTAACTGTCCTCTTCCATCATCGCAGGATTCAGCAGGAAGCAGTTGGATGGAGTCTTCACCCTTTTTCCATAACGGCAGTTGAATTTCTATGTGGAAAGGGAGAATTGATACAGGGAAGTGTTCTGTTCCCCAATATTTGCTATTAGAATGTATTTGATGTAACTGACTACATTAATTTGATGTATCTTTAAGAAAAGTGATAGTACAATTTTACACCTCAGCCAGCATTGTGTGAGAGTATTAGTAGTTACTCCACAACCACATAAATTGGTTCTTTTCTTGTTTTGTAATTTTGGCCATTATGATGGGTAAATCATGGCATTTCATGATTTACATTTTCACTTCTCTGTGATAATGATTCTGAATATCTATTCTTTTTGATATCTATTCTATTTAATATCTGAAGATCTATTTCTTTATTGGCTCTCTTAATGTGTTCTTTTTTGAAAAATTTGTTTAAGTTTTTGACTCACTTTTTCCCACTTTATTATTTCTGTCTCATTTTTTAAACTGATTTCTAAGGGTTTTTTTTTTTAAAATACAGTATATTCTGGATAAGAATATTCTGTTTAACATACTTACTGTAAATATATTCAATTTCCTTTTACAGTCAATATTTTCTTTTGATGAGCATACATTTTTAATTGTAATAAGACAATTTATTGTATGTCCTTTGTTGTTAGTATTTTTGTGTCTTAGGGAATTATTGGTTAGAAAATGTTCCTGATGCTGGCGTAGCCTCATGGCTAGTCAGAATATGGAAGAGAAATGCGAAGATGTGCCAGCCCCATCTGTTGGCAGAGAGCCAGAAGTGGGGTCCCATCTAATTCTTCAACTGATCTCGATGTAAATTCAAGGGAGGACTTGGACAAGTGACGAAGATACGAACCAAAACCCAGGCTCCCAAGATAACATGCAACCAGAAGACCAAAATGAACATGCAGCTGACATTGATTTCTCTGGGCTCTCCTTCCCCAAAACGCTTTGGGTGATAGTGGAGAACCACGTGTTCAAGTCTGTGAACTGGAGTGATGATGGAGACACTGTGACCATCACAGAGGACCTTTTCCAAAGAGAGATTCTTCACCCAAGAGGCTCAGAGAGCATATATGAAACTGACAGCTTGAAGAGTTTAATTCGTTAACTTCTACAGGTTCAGCAAAATATGCTCCAACAACTCAATTCCATCCTTTTCTCCTTTCCTAGGTGTGGGCTCCAGTAACCATCTGGGGTTTGAAATCAGTCAGGTACTTCTGCTTCAGGTTGGTCAGCACCCCTTGGTTTTCCAGTTCCACAACCGCATCCGGAGCTAAGTTTTCCAGGCACTGCGAAGTTTCCCCAATATCAACAAGCCCAGCCACCAATCTGCGACCGAACTTTTCCCCTTCCCGAAGCAGGGCCTGAATCTGGGCAGGAGTCATCCTGAGGCCTTCCGCCAGCAGCTCCCTCCAGGCATCGTCTTCCCAGTCCCTCCACAGTCCGCTGCTTCTATCACCCTGCAGTCACTGGCGTCCCACGCCACGGGAGGGCCCATGGAGGGGATGGGGTTCAGAGGACTCAGGTCTATCCCATGAAGTTTTGGGGAGCTCCCCACATTGTGTGGGGACAGGTCTCAGCATTCACTATGTCCTCAGACGGCTTCTCTCGGGGTGTCCTGCAGGCCCCTTGGGTGACCCGCTCCTCAATCCTTTTCTCCTACTGTTGCTCTCCAGAGTCAGAGGATGCCCCGGATCTGTTCTCCAAAATGACTGGTGTCCCTTTGAAATGTTAGAGATATTTAGAGGCAGTGAGTCAGAAATGGCTCTGGACTGAGTACGGGCTCCCAATATATGCCATCCGTGAAATTCTAGAGTCCCTGTATCAGGGCGACAGGCTGTTTAACTAGCCTCTTTATTTGTCATATGATGTCACAAAGGTGGCTCACAGCCAGTATGAAGAGGGAGTCCTGGCCTAGTATGGGGGAGCAGACAGGTGACAGGGTCCTCAAATTCTTTTCTTAAGGTATATAAAAGTTATTGTTCCATTCCCCCCAAAAAGAAATTATTGGTTTTCTCATTTTTACTATTTATCTTCTATAATCTTTATTAATTGTATGATTCATCAAGCACTATTTTTAATGTATCTGTGAGTGATAATTCTTCCATATATATGCATTCAATTGAACAAGCAGCATATTGAGCAAACCATCCTCTCTCAAAGGATTTTAGTGGTAATTTTGTCGTTATTCAGGAGACCACGTGAGTGTGTCCACCTATCCACTTTTTATTTTGGTTCGTTGCTAGATTTGTCTATGTTTGCCTCCCAATCACTATGGTGACTTCATAAATCCTTTTTGCAGTCTAAGTTGACACATAATTGTACACATTCATGTGCTACAGTAAGATGTGTCAATATTTACACAATCTTTACACATTGTGTAAAGATCAAATCAGAATAGTTAGCATTTTCATCATCTCAGATATTCATCATTTCTTTGTGATGACAGTATTCAAAATCCTCGCTTCTACCTCTTTTGAGTTATAGCAAACGCTATTCCCAACTGTGATCAGCCTCTGTATAATAGCACATCAGTCCTCCTGTGTAACTGGGGCTCCTGTCCTCATTAACCAATCTCCTCACATGCTCCTTCTCTCTTCCCATCAACAGTCTCTACTCTCTGTGTATCAACTATTTTAGATTTTGTTTTTAGATTATTTTATGTGAATGATATCATGCAGCATTTGTCTTTCTGTACCTACCTCACTTCTCTTAACATACTGTCCTCCAGGTTCATCCATACTGCCCCATATGGCAGGATTTAATTTTTTGAAATAGTTGAATACTACTTTATTGAATAACTAAAACGTTCTCTTTCTTCATTCATTGATTGATGGACACATGAGTTGATTCCATATCTTGGCTAATGTGAACAATGCTTCAGTAAACAAAAAACAATTGGAGTGAAGATATCTCTTTGACATATTGTTTCATTTATTTTTGGGTATGTGCCCAGTACTAGGACTGCTCTAGCATATTGCTCTATGTTTAATATTTTGAGAAGCCCCATGCTGTTTTTATTGGCTGCACTAATTTGCACTGCCATCAACAGTATCTAAAAGTTCCTCTTCCTTTACCTCCTCACAAGTATTTGCTATTTTTAATCTTTTTAATAATAGCGATTCTGTCTCGAGGTGATATCTCATTGTGGTTTTGAGATAAACCATGTTAAGTGTTTATGTCATGTTAAGTATTTTTAAATGTATTTCTTGGTCTTTTGTATGTCTTCTTTTGAGAAATATTTATTCAGATCTTTTAACCATTTTTTCATTTGATTATTTGTTTGTTGCTATTGACTAGAGTTCCTTATTTAGATTCTGGATATTTACACCTTGTCAGATGTACAGTTTGCACATGTTTTTTCCCGTTCTGTCCATGTCTCTATATTCTGTAGTTTACTTCCTTTGCTGTACAGAAACACATTGATGAAGTTCCATTTGTTTACTTTTGATGCTTTTGCTTTTTGGTTTTTGTACCAAAAATAAAAACTTTCCTCAGACCAAAATAGTTGAGTGTTTCCCCAGTGTTTCTCCTAGAAGTTTTATAGCTTCAAGTTTTATATTTAAGTTAAAATTTGAGTTGACTTCTGTATACAAAGAAAGGGGTTTAATCTCATTCGTCTACATATTCATATGTAGTTTTCTCACAACCCATTCATAGAAGAGATTATCCTTTCTTGATATTATCAAAAAATAGTGGGCTGTGATTACATGAGTTTATTTTTCAGTTCTCAATTCATTGGTATATGTCTATTTTTATGCCAGTAGCATGCTGTTTAGTTACTATATCTTTGTAGCATACTGGTAGTTTTTTGTTTTTCCTTTTGTTTAAAATTTCTTTTGCTATTTGGGGTCTTTTGTGGTTCTGTATTAATTTTAGCATTGTTTATTCTATTTTATTAAAATATATCATTAGCATTTACAGCAGTTACATTGAACGTGCAAACTGCTTTGAGTAGAGCAAGCATTTTAACATTATTCATTCTTACAATTCATGAAAATTAGATGTCTTACCACTTATTTGTATTTTCTTTAGTTCCTTTTATCATTGTTTTATAGTTTTTATTGTACAGATCTTTTCCCTTCATAGTTAAATTTATTCCTATGTCCCCCTTTTTTTACTATTGTTAACAAAATTGCTTCCATAATTTATTTTTTACATATTTCTGGCATATAGAAATGCTTCAGATTTTTTATGTTGATTTAATACCCTGAAACTTTATATAATTTTAAAATTAATTTTAATAGTTTATTAGAGTGATTAGAGTTTTATTATATTTGTAAGATTATATGATCTTGAAACGGGGACAATTTGCCTTCCTCTTCTATTTGGATGCCCTTTATTGCCTTCCCTTGCCTAATGGCCCTGGCTCGGACTTCCAGCACTATGTTTAATAGAAGTGGTAAATGGGGGCATCTAAGTTATTTCAAATCTTAGAAAAAAACTTTTCAACTTTTTCTCATTCAGTATGATGTTAGCTATGGCTTTGACCCACAGTTATTTAGACTTTGCAAGAATCAGGATATTAGCATCTGCCTTTAGTGAGGAATTAAGAGAACTTCCAATCAAGGCAGAAGGTGAAGAGGAAGCAAGAAAATCACATAGAAAGAGAAGAAGCAAGAAAGAGAAAGGCAGGAGATGCCTGCTCTTTAAAAATGTGGCTCTACACAAAGAGCCCTACACAAAGTCATGGAAACTAAACAAAATGCTGAATGACAGTTGTGTCAATAAAGAGATAAAGACAGAAATCAAAAGATTCTTAAAACGGGCTTCTGTCGTGAGTGGCACACATGGGGCAACTCACTGCTCTTCCTGTGGAATCAACATCAGGAAATTGCAGAAGCATCATTGTTTGGTATGTGGGCAGCTGGTGATCATTGGTCCCAGCACCCATGTTAAAAAAAAAAAAAAAGAAAGAAATCAAAATATTCTTGGACTAAATGATAATGGGGACATAAGTTATCAAAATTATAGGATCCAACAAAAGCAGTTCTGAGACAAAAACTCATAGCCTTAAATGCCCAAATCCAAAGGATAGAAAGATCACAAGTTAACAATTTTATGAATCATCTCAAGGAACTGGAAAAGGAAAAGCAGATCAATTCTAAATCCTTCAGAAGAAAAGAAATTACCAAAATCAGAGGAAAATTAAATAAAATTAAGAACAAAAGAACTGTACAAAAGATGAATGAAACAAAAAGTTAATTCTTTTAAAAGGTAAACAAAATTGACAAGCGTCTAGCTAGATTCATCAGAAACAGAAGAGAAAGGACTCTAATAAACTCAATTAATATCACAGAATACTATGAACAATTCTATGCTCACAAACTTGAAAATGTGGAGGAAAGGGACAAATTTTGAAAACACCTTCCTAAGCTCAATCAAGAAGATACAGAGCCGTCAACAGAGCAATATCAAGAACCAAGATTGAAGCAGCAATAACAAATATTCCTACAGCAAAGGTCTCAGACGAGATAGTTTCACACCCAAAGTTTACCAAGCTTAAAAGGAAGAGCTTGTACTTACACTGCAAGGAGTTATTATTGAACATTGGGAAAAAGTCCTCTATAAGTCGTTCTATAAAGCCAGTATCACCTTGATGCCAAACCCAGGAAAGGACACAACTAAAAAAGAAAACTACAGAACTATCCTTTATAACTATGGATGCAAAAATTCTCGGTAAAATCATAGCAATCCAAATTCAGGTTCATATTTAAAAAGTTATCATGACTATACAGGCTTTATCCCACAGATACACGGATGGTTCAGCATATGCAGATCTAAAAATGTAATATACCACATAAATAGGTGCAAAACAAGGACTGTATGGTCTTTCAATAAATGCACAAAAAGCATTCCACAAAATCCAGGACTGTTTCATGAAAAGAACACCTAACAAAATAGCCATAGATAAGCTTTCCTGCATAGAACTGGAACCAGACAAGTGTTGCCCACTATCTCCACCTCTGCTCAACGTAGTGCTGTAAGTCCTACCCAAAACACTGAAACTGGAGAAGGAAGTTGAGGGCATCTAAATGGGGAACGAAGAGGTCAAATTATCAGTCTTTGCTGATGACATGACCTTATATCCAGAAAACCCCAAAGATCTTACCAAGAGACTGCTATAATTGATGAATAAATTCATTAAAGTCTCAAGATACAAAATAAATATACACAAAATCAGTTGCTTTCATATATGCAAATGACACTCAAGCTGAGAAGCAAATGAAAGATGCCATAGCTTTCCCAGTAGCAACAAAGAAAATAAAATACCTAAGAATGTATTTAATTAAGGAAATAAAAGACTCCTAATGGGAAAATTATGAAACACAGAGGAAAGAAATTGCAGAGGATGTTAATAGATGGAACAACAAAGCATGCTTATGGATTGGCAGAATTGATATTGATAAAAATGTTAAAATAGTTATACTACCCAAAGCAATTTACAGATTTAATGCAATCCCCATTAAAATAGTAGAGCAAGTTTCTTCAGATCCAGAAAAGTAGCTCTACACTTCATATGGATTCAGAAAAGACCTGGAAAGATCTAATTTACCAAGGACACAATCAATGGAGTAAATAGTTCACAAAATGAAAGAAAATATTTGCATGCTATACATCTGATAAAGGGCTGATAACCAGAATCTACAAAGAACTCAAGCAAATCAGCAAGTAAAAAAATCAAACAACCTCATTGAAAAGTGTGCAAGAGACATGAGCAGAAACTTTTCAAGGGAAGATAGTCTAATGTCCAATAAAAATGTGAAAAAATGCTCAACATCTCTAATCATTGGGGAAATGCAAATCAAAATTATCATGAGATACCACTCAGCTTCACTGTTAATGGCCTTATCAAGAAGTCCCTAAACAACAAGTGCTCTCATCAATGTGAAGAGAAGGGAACACTTAGACATAGATGGTGGGACTGTTAAAGTAGTACTTCTATGGAAGATCTGGAGATACATCAGAGAACTTAAAGTGGACCTAACACTGATCCAGCTTAGTATGTACATACTCCTTGGTATGTACCCTAAGAAAAAAATGTCTTTTTATAAAAAGAACACCTACAATCAAATGTTTATATAGCAACACTGTTAACAATTGCAAAGCTGTGGAAACAAGCCAAGGGCCTCCTAATACATTAATGAATTATAAAAATGTAGTATATAAATAACACGGAGTACAACTCACCCATAATAAAAAAAATGGTGTTGTAGTATTTTTTTTTGTAACAACTTGGATGGAATTTAAAACCATTCTTCTAAGTGAAATATCAAAAGAATGCAGAAATAAACACATGGGCTCAACATTAAATGGAACTAATTGATTAACACTTAAATCCACATATGGAAGTTTTTTCAATGAAAATCAAGCTGGGGAGGATGGGATATATTTAGCGTGTACAGTGCACACTATCTGGGTGAAGGACACACTTGAGATTTTGACTCAGCCTGTACAAAAACAAAGTATGCAAATAAAACATGTGTACCCCTTTCCTTTCTGAAATATAAAGATAATTGAAAAGAAAAATAAATAAAGAAAATGATAATAATACTTTAACTCCATTCCCCATTTTTAAAAATTTTGATGTCACAATTTACATATTTTATACCTATTCTTTAATGAATTGTTATTATTATAATCATGTAATTAATCTTTTGGTATTACATTAAAAATATCAGTAGTTTACATACCAGTTATCATATTAGAGTATTCTCAATTTGTCTGCATACTGATTTTTCTCAGTAAGTTTTATACCTTCAGATATTTTCTTATTACCCATTAGCATCCTTTTCTTATAATTTTATCATTTCTTACAGTACAGGTGTAATTCCCTCAGCTTTTTGTTTGTATGGGAAAGTCTTTATCTCTTCATTTTAAAAATAGATCTTTGCCTGCTTTAGTACTCTTGGCTGGTAGTATTTTTCCATCTGCACTTTGGCTATATTATCTGACCCATCCTGACCTGCAAAGTTTTGCTGAGAAGTCCACTGCCAGACATTTTGGGTGATTTGCTTTTTTCCTCTTACTGCTTTTAGAATCTCTCTCTCTCTCCTTTGATAGTTTGAATATAATGCTTTAGAGTAGTCACTTTGTCTGGTTGAAATTAAGTATCTTTGAGCTTCCTGTACCTACATATTTACAT